CTCCTTGGAAGGAAAGTTATGACCAACCTAGACAGCATATTAAAAAGCAGAGACATTACTTTGCCAACAAAGTCCTGTCTAGTCAAAGCTATGGTTTTTCCAGTAGTCATGTATGGATGTGAAAGTTGGACTATAAAGAAAGCTAAGAAAATTAAGTCTGTCACTGTTTCCATTGTTTCCCCATCTATTTGCCATGAAGTGATGGGACCAGATGCCATGATCTTCATTTCTTGAATATTGAGTTTTAAGATAGCTTTTTCACTCTCCTCTTTCACCTTCATCAAGTGGCTCTTTAGTTCCTCTTCACTTTCTGCCATTAGGATGTTTTCATCTGTCTATCTGAGGTTATCACTATTTCTCCTGGCAATCTTGATTCCAGCTTGAGCTTCATCCAGCCGGGCATTTCGCACTGTGTACTCTGAATATAAGTCAAATAAGGAGTGTTTTGGGACTGAGCCCTAAACCTGTCAGGTCCACACTAACCTCAGTGAGGGTCAGAACTGAATGTTGATGTTCTGATGTTGGGGGACACCCAGCTGATGTTGCAGGATTTGCTGGTGTATAAAAAAAAAATCCACGCATTTGGTGTCAGCAGTATCGTATTTAAGTATTGAGTATGTAAAGAGAAACAGAAGCTTTCCCTATGCAATCATACACTAAAATATAATCATTAACCCATAAAAGAAAATAATAAAAAATAAACTTCTAAGTGCTCTTCTGTTTACATTTTTTATTCCCAGAGTTATTTGAAGCCTTCTACCATTTAAGAGATATTAGCCCTATTTCTTTCACCAAGAGAAAGACACACTAGCAAAATGTTTTGTCAAGCCCAATTCCCTTTACCAAAACATATGTGGGAAATTAAAATACACCCAAGAGAAGGTAAATAGTTTTTCCAACCAATGATGACAGTCAAAGCACAGGTTTCTAATTAAGTCCATATTAATTTTTTGAACAGCAGAATAAACGGACTTCCAACCCATCCATTTTCTAATTGTTCTTCTCTGTTGCCATTATTAACCAGGGTATGGAGTTTCAACATATTTATTGAGCTGCTTCCTAAGGGATGTTTTCAAATTCTACTTCTACTCCATTAGGGTGCCAGAGCTCAGAGTGATGTTTAACTTATCCTCTAGGGAAGAACAATTCTTTCTCTAAACCATTAGGGTAATAATTAGGTGCTTTGACTTCTCCTAATATATTCTAAGGGCAACTTGCTGCAAGGCACGCAGGAGAGAATAGCTGGAGGAGCCTTAATTAAATGGAGACTTCCAAGTTGTTGAACATTTTGTTTAACAACTTTCACACCCTGTATGATGAGACATTACGCAACTAACCGAGGGCAGAGAAAAAGCCAGCAGCAGCCCAGCTGTTTCAATATGTCTCACCTGCTTTGCAAACTCACTTCGCAATGGTCTTCAGTTACAGGCACTTTAAAATGGTTATTCCTGAGTGTTACAGCGGCTTATGGTCAAACTAAAGTCTCCCAGAAATTCTCAGGAAATTGTGTTTGGGTCGAAAGGAAGTGAAACTGTGTTTGGGTTGACATCATTTTTGCTACCTACTTTGTATGGCCCTTTTTCTTCACAGTTAGTCTCACAAAATATTATTTATCTAAAAAAAAATGCTTATCAGCCTTAGGAACAAGGAAATTAACACATCCTCGATCTAACACCCTGTTAGCCTCACCATCAAACATCATTTTCAAGGGCAAAGAATTTCCAGTGGGATAAGCAGCCATCACCAGAGGGGAAAAAAACTCAAAAAAGATTAGTACAAGTGAAGTCTATACATTTGCAACGTACTGATGCTCTTAGTCTCTTAACCACAGTGAATGTGACTATGGGTTTTCATAATATCTCCCTCGGGGGGCCTTTAGTTAAAATCTTTACCCTTGTGAATGGCCAGACACGCCACAGCCCACCATGGTCCGCAGAAAGACAAACCAGATGTACGATGGAGAGAATGAAGTCAGCAAGGAGAAGTAAGCTCCCCACAGGAACGAGATGAACAAAATCTGAAGCAACAAAAGGAGACGTTAATGGGATCTGCTCCCATGGAAGGGCAGGAAGAAACTTAACTTCTGAAGGTGATTTTTAATTTCATCAAATGTTTGCTTCTCTGTGGAGCTAATCTTTAGAGAACTCGCTAATCTCTCATAATCATCAGAAAATATAATCCATATCATTTTATTGTCTGAAAGCCCCAACGTTTTAAGTTTAGACCACTCGTCAAAACTCGTTCAAGGTGTCCACCCTCATAGGTGGAAACTGAACGTGTAAACCAGGACGCAAAACTCACCCTCCCAGCAAACAGGGATGGCAGGACCAGGGCTAAACATGAGTATGAGAATATAAGCAGAATGAGTATAGGCAGAAATTTTAAGGGATTTGCTTCTTTTGTAATTATAAGAATAATACAAGTTTATAGCAGAAGATATGGAAAAAAGAAAAGATATAAAAATACTTAAATCACTTTTGCTTCTCCAATCCACAGAAAATACTATTAACATAGTTTTATCCTATTTTCACTGCTTCTAAGGGAAAATATATCCTTAATAGTTGCAAAATACTCCAGTGAAAAGCCATACCATAACACACATAATATAATGAAATGCATAAACCTTTCCCCTACATTGACTGTAGAAATGGTTTTATATTTTCTATTAAAATCAGCTGAGAAACACTGTGCATAAATCTTTGGGGTTCTCTGATGATCTAAATAAAATAGATTTCTGGAAGGCGAACTGTCAGACAGGGAGATTGGGTATTCTCAAGGTTCCTGGTTTATGCTGCCAAACTGATGGTCAGAAAAATTATATCAATTGTACATGAGGGTGTCTGGACACTTGCAGTGTTCTTCAAGAAAAAGAAAAATTCCTTACGAACCTGACGATTTGGTCAAACCTTATGGCTTTGACAATGAAAAAAACTATCTCGCTATGTAATTTTGCTTCTGATAACTCCTGTGACTGAACGCTTTTCAAGGTTTCTTGACAATTTGTATGTCTCCTTTTATAAAATGCCTTTTTGTGCTCTCTGCATTTTTTTTTTTTTTTGCAAAACNAAAAAAAAAAAAAAAAAAAACCCACAAGAAAAACAGTGGTCACATCACCACAAAAGAACACACAAAAGAATATTCCAGATCACCCTTAAAGCCAGCCTACCTTCCAGCGGCCGTATCTGTCAGCCAAGAGGCCAAAGAGGATGCTGAATACCATGTAGCCAAAAAACACCATCTGGAGGTGGGTTGAGAAGAAGTTATCCTCTAAGCAGCATTTTTACAATATGCTAATTTACCACATTAAGCATTCATCCGTCTAAACAAAGAAGACTGGAAATGTGGGTGGGGTTGGAAGTTGAAAAATAGGCTTTCACAAAACTCTCCCCTGACTCCTTTTTAAGATGTCAGAGGTTGATGATTTCCACCCCTGAAATCGCTGACACCAGGTAGAAGCAGGGGTCCTAGAAAAAAAGAGCATTTCTTCCACAGGGAACTAATAAAAAAAAAATCATATTTATACTTGAACCACAAAAGCCATCCTTTTCTTCTGTGCACTGTTCTTTCTAGGACATGACTGAAGGAGGGAAAAGCCAATGTTTTCAATGCCAAGCCTGGGACGGATGCCATACCATAACGAAATCTAATCCTCAGCAAAATGGTAGAAATGAAAACAATGTGACACATTTTGCATAAATCCAAATTTATTAACTATGAAGGGCTCTTGTTCTGGAATAATTTTCTTTCTGATAATTGGTATTCACATGGCCTTTCTTTTTATGAAAGATGATGATAGTTGATGGCAAGATTTTCTGCCTCTTGTTGGGGGGTTAAAATTTTCCCTCTACCCTTCTATACTCTTTGACTGGTCCAATAATTAAATTGATTTAAGATAAATTGACACAATGAGGGGCTTCCCAGGTGGCGCTAGTGGTAAGGAACCCACTTGTCAATGCAGGAGATGTAAGAGACACAGGTTCGATCCCTGAGTTGGGAAGATCCCCTGGGGGAGGGCATGGAAAACCATTCCAGGGTTCTTTTTTTTTTCTTCCCTACTCCAATATTCTTGCCTGGAGAATCAAGTGGACAGAGGAGCCTGGTGGGCTATAGTCCATAGGGTGGCAAAGAGTCGGACACAACTGAAGCGACTTAGCATGCAAGGCAGATTGAGAGGAGAAAAGCAAGTTTAATTTTGTACATAAAAGAATCCCACAAAAATATAAGACCCAAGGGCACATTGGATAGTTGAGGCTTATATGCCACTTTGAGCTGAGGGACAGGAGGGCGCCTGGGACTTCAAAGGGGAGGAAAGTCATTCACAGGACAATGAGAAGAACAGATGTCTGGTAATTAGATGTCTGCACTGCCACATGGATAGGTCATTCAGATGAAAGTTATCTCTGGCAATAACTCTCTGTCTCTGAGAGCCAGGCCCCCTATCTAAATTCTTTATGTAGTTAAGGGAAATGTAAAAGTTTCTCTTGAGTCTGCTTGGTCTCAAGTGCCTTCAGCTCAAAATAATCCACATGCCAAAGCGGTGTACTTTGGGGTCACACATTGTGCTCCCTTTTGGTTGTTGTTATTCAGTTGTGATGTCGTGTCCACACTTCTGCGACTTTATGGGCTGTAGCCTGCCAGGCTCCTCTGTCCAACGGTTTTCCCAGACAAAAATACTAAAGTAGGTAGACATTCCCTTCTCCAGGTAATCTTCCCAGCCCAGGGATCAAACCCATGTCTCCTTCATGGGCAGGCAGATTCTTTAGCATCTGAGCCACCAGGGAAGCCCCCTGTTTCCTTTTACTCTTCTTCTAAGGGCCTTCCTTGTCAAATATGTATCTCTTTCAATGTCAACTCTAGGTCAGCCACTTGATTTTTTTTTAAACTCTTATCAGTTTGTGAATCCCCAAATTTGGCCAAGGCTCACTTTCTCTGATTTGTGTCTCTTCCGGGCTCCTGCTAGGGTCTGGAAAATGAGCAGTTCAAGGTTATCTCCCTAGAGGAAAAGAGAAAAGGAAGAATGGCCTCAAATGCTAGTTTGAGAACCAAAACAGCAGGTGGAGAGGGATTCCGTGGCCCTCCGCCAGGGGAACGAGGGAGGGGAGCGGAAACCCTGGGGCCTCAGCTGCTTCATTCTCGGCACAGAAAGCGGGCACTCACCGTGGTCACTAATGCCACCTGCCAGTTCTCCAGCTGCCATTCACAGCGGATGACAGGAGACACAACCGCTATTAACATGATCTCCATGGCCTCGGCAACCTCAAAAAGAAGGAAGGAAAACACGGTGTCCAAGTGCGGGCCTTTTGTCCCTGCTTCCCATGTCTGCCTGTCATCCTTCCAGTCCTAACCTCCTCCTTCCTGCCCCCCACTTAAGGAGGATCTACCTGTTACATACCCACTCAGTCCTGCTAGTTGGATAAAGAAGCACAGAACAACTTTGGTTTTCATGGATGTAACATTTATGGTTTGAACAATTTTGAGAGGGTCCCTCAAGATTTATGACATGTATTCCCTTGTGATGTTTCATGTTTTTGCATTTAACACTACGAGGATGTTATGTGGGGGTCATTTATTTGGCAGATGACCCAAGTTATTCACCAGCATCTACATCAGCCCAACACTGCTGTCCTATACTTGTCATCCTCAAGATCTCAGGGTGTATCCTTTGCAAATGGATTGTTGAAATAGTCCCTGATTTCAAGAGGCTGCAATGGGGAGGCAAGATTCATGAAAGTTAGAAAATAAGCAATGAATACAAAATAATAAGAGCTCATCATCAGGAAAGGATGACTGTTAAGTAACATTAGTGTAAGATGTACCACTAAATATTTATATTTTCTATTGAAAGAAATATCCTCCTCTGTCCATATCTTGTAATTCATTGCAGGATGAGTTTATCTCCCAGGGAAAGGAAGAAGTAAATATTAGATGATAGAAATTCAACGCAATAATGAACAAGGAAGATTCCAAGATCATTCTGTGGTTTTCTGCCTGGAGGAACAGATGAATAATGATATCATTGACAGGGTCTGAAGGACATTAAAAGAAAAAGGGGAAATTAAAGGGAGGGAAAGGTGCATTTGTTTGAGACACATTCTATGAATAATAACAGAATATTTGTATGGGGTGTTTATTATGGTACTTCTTGTATTTGTGTAACTTGAAGGTCTGGGATGAAACAGTCATGGCTAATGTTAGCTACTATGTGGGAATTTGAAATATATCATAATGGCTCATTTCTCCTTGGAGAGTATTATAGTCATGTTTAGAATTCAAATAGTTGGTACTTTTTAGTCCAAAAAATATCATGTGTAAGAAGTGACCTGATGATCTCAGAAGAATACCTATATATTAAACTCACCTAGAGCAGTTAGGTCAGTATTAATCTGGACTCCACTCCTCTCAAGAGTCTTAGAAGGAAATAAGTCAATTAGGGATAAGGCTCTGTCCCACTCTGATTTAACAGCCTTATGGGAGAAGGACCAGCCAGAAGCTAGGGGCAGTCGTGGAGGAGCAGCACTGCAAAAGACCGCTGAAGACCTTGGAGGCGTCTGAGGCTTCGGAGTCCTTGTCACGGACTGCGACTGCCGTGATGCGGTTACACACACAGCCCAGACACGTGGGGCCTGGACTCGGCTACCTTCAGTGGCACCACACACCTGCAGGGGTACCAGCTGCGGGGTCAGTGAATCTGTAACTACAACAGGTATCCAGGTGATAGTTACGCGTAAACTGTTAACCACGTGTCTAATTTGACTTAGAATTAGTCAAACTCTTCCCAGTGTTTCAATTTAAACCTTTTTTTAAAAATGAGTATTGACAAATGAACTTATTTACAAAACAGAAATAGATTCATGACATAGAAAATAAACTTAGGGTTACCAGAAGGGAAAGGGCAGGGGAGGGATAAATTAGAAGTCTGGGATTAACAGATACACACTCCTATATCCAACTATAAATCAGCTCTAAGCACTCACCCCCGTGCTGCCCATGATCAGAAACAGGGCAATGTGGAAGCGTCCGAATCCGATGGTCTCCACTGCTTCTTCCACAGTGAACGTCTTTGACTCTAACAAGGAAAAACAGAGTGAAAGGAACAGCCTCTGTGGGGAGGCAAGGTGTATGGATCATCATTCACTCTGGAGAATGTTGGAAAACCAATTTGTTGCTATAAAAATAGTAAATACAGAGAAGAGGAGGGATTCAACAGTAACTTGAGGACCAGAGGCTTCTGTGGTCCCCTTACCTCTCGACTGTGGCTCTGAGGTCCCTAGGTTCAGCTCCCGAAGGCTAATGACAGTGACTGGCTCTGTCTGCTTGGCTGACATCTTTCAAACGGTTTGGATTCCCCACACAGCTTTCCTACAGGAGACAGGAGAGGGAAGATGCAGGAAACTGGGGAAGGAAGAAGGAAAGAAATAAAATCGAGTGCATATTCTCCTTTAATCTTCATCAAAAACCAGTGCAGTAGGTATTGTAATTTATCACCATTTTACAAGTGAAAAACCTGCAACATGGAGAAGTTAAATCATGAAGAGGTTGAATGGCCAAATGAAAGAAGAGTCCTAGAAGCTAGTAACCAACCCGGAGTCGGGGGCCAGGTGAGCTCTTGACAGTTTAACCAATAGTGTTCTCTGACTGGGAATGAGGGTGGGCAGAGAAATAATCACAATAGCCAATGCTTTACTGCTCCATAAATGCTATGGTTTACAGTATGATCAGATATTATAGTGTTCTTTCTCACCTTATTTTCATTTAATTCTGACAGAAACCCATAGATTTTCTTTTTATCCCTTCTACCTTGGGTAAGCATCTGCCTGCAATGCAGGAGACGTGGGTTCGATCCCTGGTTCGGGAAGATCCCCTGGAGAAGGAAATGGCAACCCACTCCAGTATTCTTGCCTGGAGAATCCCATGGATGGAGGAGCCTGGTGGGCTACAGTCCACGGGGTCACAGAGTCAGACACGACTGAGCGACTTAACTAATTTTCACCTTGGGTATTTAATCCTTAAAAAAAAAAAAAAAAAAAAAAACTTAACCCTAAACATCAAAACAAGAATAAAACAAGGAAAGCTGAAATTAGCGGAAAAAAATTTTAAATAGGTTTATAATGGTAATTTCATTCTACACCCCTGGTAGGATAAACAGATTCCCTAATCTATTCTCACTAATTATACTGTTAGCAATAATATTGGTATCATTATTTTGATACAAGTACATATTGTAGGATAAAGCAGTTATGTTACTCTTATTAGGAACCAAGATTTCAGTGTAAGAGAAAGAATATACAAAAAATCAAAAGTTATGTGAACACTTTACATTCTAATTTTGAATTGGAAATATCAATGAATTCATTATGTATTATAGATACATATATATATACATACACACACGTATATATTTAAAGAAGAAAAATCACTGCAAAGAATTAAAGCCCAGAGATATCAAAATCCATTGTTCATAGGATTGCTAAAATGGTAATCTCACTGATCATCTTTGGAGAATACTAAGAAAACAACTCATTCTGAAAACTAGTAAGTATCTTGCCTTTCTTGTACAGATTGTATTTTAGAGTAACCAGTCTGTGAAACAAAAGTATTCTTTCATTTCAGCTAAAACATACAAAAAGGATGGAATTAAAGTTCATGATTTTGCAACTCCTAACAAAATAAAGGATCCAAGTAATGATCATCAATGGCTGATAAACTAGGTAAAAAGCTGATAGAGAACTTTATTCAAACAGATAAGACTAATAACACCCCTGACCCCATTGATGCTGGCCCCTCATGCCACTAAAGATGATCAGATGCAACATGGCTCCTGATGAGATGCATGAGGAAGGATATACAACATCACCTGTGATGTAGTCTCATGAAAAGAAACTGAACGTGGGTCTGACTGAGCCTCTAGCTCTACCTACCATTTTATACTTCCTGTAGCTCGAATGGTCAGGAAGCTGCCTGTGATACAGGAGAGCAGAGTTTGATCCCTGGTTTGGAAGATCCCCTGGAGAAGGGAATGGCAATCCACTCCAGTATTCTTGTCTGGACAAGTCCATGGACAGAGGAGCCTGGCAGGCTACAGTCAGCGGGGTCACAAGGAGTCGGACACAACTGAGCAACTAACACACATACATCATTTCATACAAAGGATGAAGAAACAACGCTAAACTACACAGTTCAGTTCAGTCGCTCAGTCGTGTCCAACTCTTTGCAACCCCATGAGCTGCAGCACGCCAGGCCTCCCTGTCCATCACCAAAGTCCACCAAAACCCTGTCCACCTGTCATCTCGAGCTCCACCCAAACCCATGTCCATCGTGTCGAAGATGCCATCCAACAATCTCATCCCCTGTCGTCCCCTTCTCCTCCTTCCCTCAATCTTTCCCAGCATCAGGGTCTTTTCCAATGAGTCAGCTCTTCACATCAGGTGGCCAAAGTATTGGAGTTTCAGCTTCAACATCAGTGCTTCCAATGAACACCCAGGACTGATTTCCTTTAGGATGGACTGGTTGGATCTCCTTGCAGTCCAAGGGACTCTCAAGAGTTTTCTCCAACACCACAATTCAAAGCATAAATTCTTCGGCACTCAGCTTTCTTTATAGTCCAACTCTCACATCCATACATGACCACTGGAAAAACCATAGCCTTGACTAGACAGACTTTGTTGGCAAATTAATGTCTCTGCTTTTTAATATGCTGTCTAGGTTGGTCATAACTTTCCTTCCAAGGAGTAAGTGTCTTTTAATTTCATTGCTGCAAACTACACAACATGGATACAAAAAGAAAAATCCAAAATGTGAGATCTACAGGTTAATGACTCAACTTCTTAAATAAATAAATGGAAAGAAAAAAAGAGGAGAGGAGAACGGATTGACTAACAGAAAAGAGACAAACCAACCAAATAAAGGAGTTAATTTGCCCGGATCTTCAGTCAAACAAGTCAATTATAAAACAACAAGAGAATGAGATGACAAAGATGACAAAATCAGGGAAATTTAAGAAAGTTTGGAAGTTTGATGATATTAAAGAATTAGTGATGACATCATTAGGTGTGACAATGACATTATGGCTATGGTAGAAAAAAATCCTTATATTTTAGAGATATATGCTGAAATGTTTACAGATACAACAATGTTTGGGATTTGTTTTAAAATAATTCAATGGTGGGTTAGGAATAGAGTGCAGAAGGGGTGGGTGTGTAGATGAAAAAAGAATGGCCTTATAGTAAAAATTATTTAAGGAGGGTAGTGGGTACATTGGGGTTTGACTGTCCTCCACTGTTGCAGATGTGTAACATTTTTCAAAATAAATAGTTCCAAAAAGGAGGTTCTGAGATTTGTATGTAACTTTCCCAATATCAGACCACTAGTAAGTAGCAGAAGCAGAACTCAAAGATCCCCTTTTCCCAGAACATAAATATCTGCAGAGCAGTTGCCAAGAAGCAAGTCAAGGTCATCAATGTTTGCCAAGTGCCATCTCTGTGTCTTTGTGTGGGCTCCTGTGGAGGGTTTGTAGGAGCCTCTGACACATCCCCTGCCCTAAGGAGCTCTTAATCTAGCTGGGGACACCAAAGATACACACAAAAGCAACAACACTATAAAGTAGATATTATTTGTTTCCTTAAAACTCTGTCACAGACACAGAAATATTCCAGATGGAAGAGAAATCAATAATGCTCAGAAATGAGTTTGTGAAATGCTCTCTCCCAAAGGAGATCATGAAAAGTACAAAAGGCCGTTATTTTCACAGAGTGGAAAAAGTAAAAATAATTGGTCTCTTGGACCATATGAGAGATTGAAATTTACAAAGATGGAATGTTCCAGAAATACCTAATGCTCTCTTTCCAACTGTTGTCCAAATACCTTTTGGAGGGGTGTTCTTTGCCTGGTAACTTTTAAAATATTTATGAGAAAAATCACCTTTGGTTAATTATCAACAGGACTTCAGTACACATTAAAAATTAGCTCTGACTGAATATCATGTTTCCAGATGAGATGAAGTACTAACTTAACCAAAATATGACAATGAGATTACTCAGTGAGAATTAGATGGTGGTGATGGCTGTACAAACTTGTGACTATACTAAAAATCACTGAATTATATATGCTCTAAAATGGTGAATTTTTTTATATGTCAATTATATCCAATTTTTTTCCCCTAAAGAACAGCCATGCATATCATGACAGCAGACTTAAAAACCAAAAGTGAGTATGGCCATCTACAGTGCTAGAGTGGATCAGACAGTAAGGAATCTACCTGCAACGTGGGAGACCTGGGTTCAATCCCTGGGTTGGGACGAACCCCNGCTGCACCAGATCTTAGTTGCAGCACACTGGATCTTCAACCTTCATTGCAACATGCGGGATCTTTAGTTGTGGCATGTAGGATCTAGTTCTCTGACCAGGGATCAAAGCCGAACCCCCTGCATTGGGAGCACAGAGTCTTGGCCACTGGATGACCAGGCAAGTCCTCATCTATTTCTTGACTGAAGAAGAGAATCATACTACTTGCTTTCCATGATATGACAAGAACTATGCCCTCAAATTAAAACAAGTTACCATTTTCCTCTATCGAATTTGAAAAATATAAAAGATCAATTATACCCAGTGTAGGAACTCCCCTGGTGGTCCACTGGTTATGACTCTGTGCTTCCAACGCAGGGGGGGCACAGGTTCCATCTCTGGTTGGGAGCTAAGATCCCACATGCTGCACAGTGCAACCAGAACAAAAAAAAAAAAAAAAATAACACCCAGTGTAAGTGAAACAGGCACTGATATTGATAGGAGAGTACATGGCTACAGCTGTTCCAGAAGGCAGCTGGGCAAAGATGAAAGAATATTGACTAAGCAGTTTCACTTCTCGGATTCATCCTAAGGCAATAATCAAAATGGTAGATGAAGATAAAGTGTATGAAAGCTCAACACACTGTTATTTTAACAACGATGATTGTCAAGGAGTGACCAAACAAATTATAATACAATACACTCCTATAACAAAATGCCACTTAAAAGCTCTTAGGTGAAAGTCTATTTGGTGCTAAAAAGCATTTCCCAAAATGTATGTACCTAAAGCATATATACAATGATCCCAGTTCATAAAATTTCATTTAAATATATAATTACATAGAAATTTCCAGAGATAGGTCTGAAATTGTGTTTTGTCTTTCAACAAATATTTATGGAACACCACCATGTATCAGACAATAAAATATAGTGAAAAGGGTTCCTGTCCCCAAAGCACATACAAATGGTGGATAAAGTCAAGTATTGAGGTGGGAGCCACGTGGTCCAGGGGTAGTAGACAGAGGTTGCTCTGGCAACATAAGGGAGGCCCTGGTCTGCCCAGTCCTGGGACCTAGGACAGCCAGTCCTGAAGGACGAGGATTTGGCCAAGAGAAAAAGGTGAGGAAAGAATTATCTGGCTGGTAGAATTTAGGGTGGCTTTTTCTTTCTTCCTTTTACACTTTTCTGCATTATTTAATTTTTAGAAAGGTTATGTCTGTTACCATGAAAATTCCGGAAGAAATGAACCAATGAAGATGCACAGTTGATGTGTCATAGGGCTCCCTAAGTCACTGTCCCCTGTGCCATGAGCCCCACCTGCCCTCCATCACTGGCCTTGATCTCCTGGGTCAGGATAGGCTCTTGACCTGGAAACAATCAAGTCATTGACTGGCCACAAGTCTACAAGGTGGCCTGGCACAGAAAGCCCCCATTGCTAGTGCTGATGGTTGCACAAAATTGTGTAACTAAATTATAAAACTAAATGCCACTGAACTGTTCACTTCATAATTGCTGCAAAGGTAAATTTTATGTGTATTTTTTAGCACAATGTCAAAAATTAAAAGAACAAGAAGAGCCATTATATAGGTAGTAGATGTCTGTAGTTGATATAAACCATAAATTCAAGAAAAAAAATGTTAAGACACTAGTGGAATAATGAGCACATTATATGACTATAACCAGGCAATTCCCAAGAGGATAAAGAAATTGCAAATAAAACTGGAAAATTGTTCATTTCTATAATAACTGACAAAGTTATAGAAATTAAAATCTTTAGGTATCCTCTGTGTGTGTGTGTGCATGCTTAGTCACTCAGTCGTGTCCGACTCTTTGCGACCCCATGGACTGTAGCCCACCAGGCTCCTCTCTCCATGGGGATTCTCCAGACAAGAATATTGGAGTGTGTTGCCATGCCCTCCTCCAGGGATCTTCCAAATCCAGGGATCGAACCCATGTCTCCCACATCACAGGGGGATTCTTTACCATGTGAGCCATAAATTAAATGTAGGAAGGAAAGAAGGAAGAAAGGAAGAAGAGAAGAGGGAGAGAGGGAAGAAGGAGAGAAGGGGGAAGGAGGAAAGAAAAGGCAGGATAAAGGAGGGAAGAAAAGGGAAGGGGGAAAGGGATGGAGAGAAGGAAGAAAAGGAGAGAAGAGAAATTAGGGGTGACAAGGAGGTAAGAAGGAAGAAGGAAGGGAAAGAGGAAGCAGGGAGGGAGAAACGGAAGCTGGTAGTAGCCATGGTGAAATAGCAACTGAAACTTTTCTGTTCCCTCATCTGAAAATAAAAATAATACCATCTGCCTTCAGGAGAAGCAGCTTGCTGCCCTCCCAGTAACAAGTCTTCCCTTGAACCTTGCTGATTGGGTGACCACTGAGATACAGGTTGAGGTTGCTGGGGAATGCTTCTGAGAAAGTCCTCTTTTGCCCCCTCTGTCTCCTGCCTGGATCTTGGAGACACGATGGCTGGTGCTTCAGCAGCCATTTTGGGTGGTGATACAAATATGAAGTTGGAAAGATGGAAACTCTCAGCTAAGTCTGAGCATAAGCTAGAACAGAGCCTGGGACCTGACGACCATGATGTGGAACTCTTCTACAGCTTTGATCGTTCACCACCAGACACGTTTTCCATGGAGATAAAAAAAAAAGCTCTCTCTTGTGTGTGTGTCTCTGTATTTTCTTTAGGCTTGTCAAGTGAAGCAATGGGAGTATAGAAGGAATAAAGAAGCCTGTAACTAGCTATGATTAACTGTAAACACCACTATACTCAGACTAGCCAGGTATGTGTGTTTTTAGCCGATAAACTTTCTTAAGTGGATTGAGGATTAAATGAAATGATGCTTGTGTAATATGACACAGTGCACACTGCAACACAAGCACTCATGATGCTACTGTTTCTCATTAAAGTATTAACAAAATTTCACCACAGTCACAAGTCAAATACACTCAGGGTAAGTTAAGCATCTACAGAGTTATCAAATACGTATTTCTCCAAAGGCAATTATTACTAATATTCAGCCAACATGAGAACACCTAGGACTCAAATGAAAAACTATCCAAATTGGGGGGTGGGGGGGAGAGGAAGGTAGCTTGCTTCCCAAAATAGACTGGTTACATTTGAAGAGTCAACTTAAGTGGTGTTAGGAAGACCTCGCATGTGCCACATGCCTAGTGGAAAATAAGACCAAAAAAACTCCCATCGGATATTTAACAGTAACACCCACTCCGTTCAATCACCTTACACTTACGAAGGGCAAAACAAAATGGATTAATTTTCATTAAAAATGTTCTTGCTGTACATTGCTTTCAGTTGTAAAACCAGCATATTTTACAGAAAGAAAGACCTTTTGAAAGTGGAAAAGCCTAGTTGGTGCAAGGGTGAGAAGCTGGACAAAAAAGCTGGCAGTCATGTGTGACTCTCTCAAAGGAGTGAATCTGCTCAATTTCACTGACTGTAATATCAATCTGTCTTGAAGACGTCTTGGCTCAAATGCAAGACCAGCCCTTAAAGACGGTCAAGGCTCAGATGTATTCTCTATGTCAGTGCAGGTTGCTAAAGGGTGGGGGGGAAAAAAACAAATATTCCAACTACCTGCAACAGAAAAAGTCCTCATTCATGCCCTAGTAAGTTATAGAAGGCCTTCAACAGCAAGTTTCCTTTGGTGGGGGCATGCTGGGGGCGGGGGTTGGCCCACAGGGGTGTTGATAGGATATTTTTAGGATTTTGGTATTCACATTTGTGAATTATAAAGGGGCTTACATTCCAAGAAATTAAGAGGACACTCAAATACTAACTTGAAGTTAACAGATAAGGAAAGTATTCTGTTTTCTTGCATTTCAGCCAAAGTTTCATAAAATGTTTTCATAAACAGGACAAAATGTTTCAGGGATGGATATGACTGAGGAATGTTACTGAGAGATAGAGCTTGCAATCTTAATGCTGAAATGGAACTCTGGAAGAGCTGAGTTAGCATTTTCTGTTCTTCGGCTCCCTAAGTCATTCTAAATCCCTTCTAGCCTAGGAAGAGGACAGACAGATGGAGGGAGAGATGGAGTGACGGATGGAGGGACTGGTGGATGCATGGTGGATGGACAACCCATCAGACCAATTCAAAAGAATATGGATTAACATGGGGAAGAACGCTTCACATCCTTCACTATCACTCCTGAAAAATTTCAGTGGAAAGTAACCATTGCCCGCCTTCAAAGAACTCACACATTGGGGATTCACTGTGAAACTCCAGGACTCAGAAGGAGTTCAGGTTTCATTAAAACAATTTCAAAGAGACTGATGGACATTTTATTCTATTGCATTTTGCTGTGCTTAATTTTTTAGCCAGAGATGATTAGGCCATGTAAAGCTTTTAAAAACTGAATTTGAGTGTGTGATGTAATTTGTTTTGCAATATCATCAGTAAGAAGAGTGAAATTTTTATACTTCATCTGTATTCAGCCAAGCACTAATGGTCAAATGCCCTAAGCCCCCCAGAGCAGAAAAAACCCAGAACTATGTTGCCCGTCACAGTTTCTTACCTCTGTATACTTCCTGGAAAACTTGCTTATTTCAAGCTCTTTTTCTCTACCTTACTGCAGCCAAGTCTTACACAGAAGCTGGACCATGCAGGGCCTCTTGTGGGCTTCTGGACTTCCCTTTCCAAGAAACCCGGCTCTCAGATCTTCTCTCCTCCTTTCGGCTCAGTTCTGTGAACAGATTCTTTGAAGAACAACCCAGCGTCCTGGACTAATGAATGACATTCAGGTCACACCCTCTTCTCAGCAGCCCTTCACCCAATCCCTTTTTAAAGGGGAAATTACATCTCTCATTGAGAAAGAGAGACTGCCAATCCTTGGAGGAAACTGCTATGTCAATCGCAGGGAGACTGGGAATTTCTGAAAGAGCAGGGGTCCAGGCAAGGGGCAGAAGGGACAGCTTTGCTCCTTCACGCCTGTTCTCACAGTCATCACTGTTTAGAATTACAGGGCAAAAGACTGCGATTCACCTAAGCATCACATATTTTTAGATAGCCATTGAGAAGGGCAGTGATGAACTGAGAAGTCTGAAACCATCTGGTGACCTTGGCAGCATGGGCATTTATGGACTTAATTTGCCACCACACCCAGCTTTAGTCTGTCCTTTCCTCCCACCAGTGCCACTGGCCGAACACCTTGCATACCTGGTGCTCTATGACTGCACCACCCTCCCCAACCCACAGGGGTGGAGAGTGCCATTCACAGTTTGGCAATGACAGGAACACCTCCATTTCCTGCCCGAGCGCACACCTGATGAAGTACCAGAGTGGGAACTCAGATATACATCTTCTGACTCCAACTATTATTTCTGGGCTCAGCCTGTTTTAATCACTAAAGTAATACTTGTGGAGCACCTAACTGTGCCTTAAATTGTGCTGGACAAGCCATGACACTTGACGTGGAAGGTAACATGGACACTTCCATGAGCACCAGTCAACCCCACAGTGCAGAGAGGCCGATGGGAGCTTAAAAAAAAAGATCTGTCCAAAAGACCATTTTGCATCTGGTCAGATCCTCTGAAATCTGATTACGAGTTAGATGCTACATAAAAGCACTCTGTAACCTATAAAGCATGACACCAGTGTTAATGACACTTAATTCTACCCATAGAGTTACCACGTGCTCGGTCGTTTCTGACTCTTTGTGACCCCGTGCACTGTAGCCCTCAAGGCTCCTCTGTCCATGGGATTCTCTGAGCGAGAAGACTGGAGTGGGTTGGCATTTTCTCCAGTAGATCTTCCCAATCGAGGGGTCAAACCCACATCTCCTGTTATCTGCTGCATTCACAGGTGGATTCTTTACCACTGAGTTACCTGAGAACCCCATAGTTAACCATAAAGATGGTAATGAACCTGGATAAAGGCCCTTCAGACTAGTTGACAAAACACATATTATTCTACACCTGGCTCTTGGAAGTTTGCCAATGTGGGTGCCTAAGAAATGACTCTGGGGCCGACTGACCCAGATAGCATCAGGATAGGCTGTCCGGCCATCTCCTTCCCTGCAAGCCATTTTCTAGAACCTGCTGAAGCCTATGATCCCTTTCCCCAGTTACCCCAGCATAATGTGCATTGAGAATAAACAAAATCACTGTTGAAGGTTGTCACACTTCATTCCACAGGATTTAATGATTCAGAGAGCCACACTGGGGCCAGCCCTCCCTCTCAGCAGAGAATATTATCTGTTCTTCCTCACCTGGAGTGAAAATTCATGAGAAAGTTCCTAATCCTGTAAAGCTTAACCCCAGACAAGGGAAAGAAGGTGTTTGAGGAAGGAGGAAATGAGGAATAAAAAAAAAACATAATCCTTCCCTAGGATTTGTTTGTATAACTCTATTGTTTAGCTTTGGCCTATCATTTTATCAGTACTAAATTTTACAGAATACTTTTCTTTAAAAAAAATCTTAAAGAAAGAGTGAATGGCCCCCAAATTTAATCACATGAAAACATGAGTTTGGCACTCCCACTCCCCTCATCGCAATCATTTTTGTATTTGACAATAAGGCCCCAGGTTGAAATGACTTGCCCATGTAGTTTTTCTATGACATGGTGAAGTCATATCAAATCCCAGGGCTTACAGATAAATAATACAGGGCTTCCTGCCTCCAGTCAGTGAGAACAATCATTCCATTGATGGCCGTGCGCAGGCTGACTTTAAAGACAAGACGAAACTTCTTTCACTGGCACGGACACTGGAACAGGAAGGCGGTGGCCAGCAGACGAGGTGGCCACAGCCCCCAGACGTGAAGCTACTCCTCAGCTGTCCCATCCAGGATTTGTTTGAAGGAGAATGGAGAGAACTTGTAACCAGCCCCGGTGTAGAACTTGTTTTGGAACTCCACCCTGTTGTTGAGGACAAGGAGAAGGGGAATTGAACACAGAAATGAGAGGCTGGCAGCCGGAAGGGAGAAGCGGAGAGAGTGTAAAATCAAGCACCAGGTGACGAAGGCACCCCTGGCAGTCACCATAGGAATCCTGAGGTTTGGGGGGGTTATTTTCAAATCCTTCTCTTGCCTCCCCCTGACACCTTCTTCTCCACCCCCCATTTTCTCCAGGCTTTCACTAGTGACCTCAGGGACCACAGCATAACCTCCCCTAGACCCCCAACCACCAGGGAAGTCCTTTCTGGGCAGCACTGTCTGAGGAGATGGTCACAAGACAACGCATCACCAGGCTGTACAAGGTGGTTTGCTTCCATCCTGATCTTAAACTGTGGAGCTTACATAACTGCAGAACCAACAGAGCCTTGACTTATACTTTTATAACTTACAGAACAGATACCATAAATGGTCATTTCTGTGTTATTATGTTGCAGAGGTCATTTCTCTAATGACATGGGTAGAAATAATAGTATAGCCTCAGGCGGGGAAGGCTATGATTCTCTCAAATCAACGGGTGAGATGGAAAACCTTTTCCTTATGAACAATGGCCAAAGATAGAGGGAGGAAGCCTCAGTGAAGCTAAGGAGAGGCTGGTCAGGACATATGGGAAACCTGATGCTTTAGTAGAGACGACATACCCAAAATTCTTGGCTGAAAAGAGACCCGGGAAAGAAACAGAACCCTAAGCAAATGTTTGCATATTCGTCAGTCCAGTGATGGCCAATCATCTCTGGACACATCTATGAATGTCAAGGACCTCCAGTGAGAGCCTTCCTCCTGGGGGGTACCCTCCTTGAGTTTCCCTTTTCCGAGAACTATTTGCCTGTTCTGTTAGTATAATTCCCACACTCAGCAACAAGGGCCAGAGAGCTCAGATTCACTCAGCATCTCCCTCTGTGAGCCTTTCCAATCCGTCATCTTACCAATAGTTGGGGTGTCCCTTATTTTGAAGCCAATTATAATAACAAATGAACATTTAAAAGGAGTGAATGGGAACTAACATGTCTTCTAGAGCAGTCTGTGTGTGTGTGTGTGTGTGTGTGTGTGTGTGTATAAGACATCATTTAATATTACACCAAGAAGGGACTAAATTAAGGTTCCAAAAAGGCACAGGAGTTGCTAACATCACACAACAGGTCAGGATTTGAACCCAGTCAGCTAGCCTTCCCTCCCACCCACCCTCTTTCCTGAGAGCATATCTACGCTACAAGCAGTTCATACCAGTGCAGCCGCAGGGCATGCAGGAAAGCGGAGAGGCCCTCCATGATCAGAAGGATGGCTACCGTCAGAACAGCGAACACAGCAAAAATGATGAAGACCCCAACGAGTCCTCCCCAGCCTCGTATGTGAAGGCCAATGTTCATCACCATTGTCCAGAGCACCTCAGACAGTTCTGCCAGACACAAGAGAAACATTCTCAACCATGTGGTTTATTGGGCAAATGCAGATTACTCTCATACAGTAATCCTGGATCTGCACACCCTATAATTCAGCAACTCCACTCATAGTGGAGAACGTGGGCATCTGCACCCTAGGTTACTTGACTACGGTCATCTACAGCAGTTTTGGAGGAGTTTCCATCAAGAGGACAAGTATATGATGGCACACTACTCACCAGTGAAAGTGAGCAAATCATAGCTACTAGCAGCAATATGAAGGAACATCTAATGCCAAAGAAGTGAAACACAAAAGAATACATGTAGTATGATTTAATATGTACTGAATTCAAATTCATATATTAAAGCCCTAACCCCCAAGTGATGGTACTTGGGAGATGGGGCCTTTAAGAAGTGAATAGGGGACCTCTCTGGTTGTCCAGTGGTTAAGACTTTGCCTCCCAAAGCCAGGGCCAAAGGTTCAATCCCTGGTTGAGGAACTAAGAGCCCACATGCCTTGCAGCCAAAATACCAAAACATAAAACAAGCAATGTTGTAACAAATTCAATAAAGACTTTAAAAATGGTCAACATCAAAAAAACCTTAAAAAAAAAAAGAAATAATTAGGGTTAGATGGGGTCACAAAGGTAGGGTCCTCATGATGGTATCAGTGCCCCTTATAAGAAGAGACACCAAAGAGTCCTCTCACTCCCTCTTCCAGGGAGACACTATCATCACAGGGGTGTGTACAAGCAAATAAGCAGCCAAAGCAGTCAAGAGCACACTAACTCTGAGCACCTGCTTTTCTGCTGTAAATCAATAACCAGGCTCATTTTCACTGCTTTGGTTTCTATTTACTTAGCACACACTTTGGCCTGGCTTCTCTGTTCTTGGCATGATGCCCAGGGCTGGGAATGCAGAGTTAAAAGCCAGGGTCCTTACTTTTCAGGAGCTCCCAATCTAGTAGGGAGACAGGCTAACAAGGCAGGGTTACAGTCTGTACTGGGTCAGAGCACCCCCAGAACCTAGGGAAGGGCACCTTCCAGACTGGGGGCCAGGGAGGAGGACCACGAGCAAAGGTGCCAACCACGCTGAGTTCTGAAGGAGGAATGGGACATAAGGCTGGGGAAGAGTATTACAGCGAGGGAGCTGCAGGGCAAACACACAGGGGGCCCAGATGGGTGGCATCTTCAGGAGCCTCAGGGCAGTTCCTCGTGGCCACTGCACAGGAAATGGGAAGGGGGGTGGCATAACAGAGAGCCAGTGGGGGCACGGAGGTAAACACCAATAGTCAAGACTGGAGATGCGGGCAGAAATCAAGAGCGATTTTACAAAGTAAGTCCATGAGTCAAGATTCCAGATTTAAGTCATTCTTGGGGCTTGACTCATTACCAATAAATACAAGCGGCCTGTAGAAACTAGGAAAGGCAAGGAAATAGA